AAAAAATTAAATATTAAAAATTTAAAATACTAGATAACAAAATTAAAAATGGGAAAATTTACAAATTGATATGAAAATTCAGTGTTCAGTCAAAATCTTAATTATTAATTTAATTTAATTATTAAAATTTCCAAAAAATATATTTACAATAATTCTGAAATTTATTTAATTCTTAATTTATTTATTTTTTCTCAAACAAGTAGCTGTTTAAATAAATTGTGTAAGAAAGTTGTGTAATTATGGAATTAAATGTTAAGTGAAAATAAAAATATTTAAAAATTAAATTTTAAAAACAAATAATATTTTTATATATAATAGTATAAAATATATTTATTGTATTTGTATAGCTATTTTACAAAAATTCAAATTAAAAAATTTGCTTTTTCTTGTTTCTGTGTTTTTATTATGAAAAGTGTTCATGTATAGTAAGATTCATTAAAAAAATATTTAATTAAAAAATTATTTAATTAATTTTAATAAACTATATATTATATAATTAATTTAAAATAGTTTGTGTGCTTATGATATTTATAAAAATTATTAAAGTAATTAAAATAATTTTTTATTGTTTCTTAATGAAATAATAAAAATATTCTATTAAAAAATTATATTAATTAAAAATAAAACTGAAAAAAATAAATAAATAAATTTTTTTTTTGTTGTAAAAACAAGAGGGCGCTAAAATTTTAAATACTTAATAAATTAAAACAAAATAAAATTTTTACAATTATTTAAGGTAAATATTAAAAATTTTTATAATTATAATTTTAAAATTTTCTTATTTTATAAAATAATACGGTCGAAAGCGATCAAATTAGTCCCTAGTATAGGTTCAGTTTGCAAGTTCTAAAAAAATCTTTACGGATCAATACAATTTTTTAAAAAATTTTATAATGATTTTATATATATATTTAATACTAAAAATGAAAAGGCAAATAAAAAAATCTTATGTAGTCAGCACATAACCGACCGCAATATTGTGTTGTCTAGATTAGTAGAAGTGTTCACAGAAGATTATGAAAATGTATTTTAAACACTTCTGTACAATTTAAAGGACACTAATAAGTTTTTAGTTAACATATCTAGAAAAGTGTGAATTTGATTCTTAGTAGTGTTTCATTTTGTACCGTCCAAATTACACGAAAAGTTCGTCAGTAACTTCTGGTAACAACCAGAGATCAAATATTAAATTTCAAGAAATTCCATTAAGTAATTTGCTCTGTAGATATGGTAAAAAATGTATGATAAAACCGACCCTCAGATCAGTTTCCAAGTCTAATGTTCATAAAAAATTTATAGATTCGTTGTTTTAAATTTTCGAATTTCGAATTTAAATGTTAAATTTCAATGAAATCGATTGAATATTTCTCTTTATATACTCAAAAATGTATATTTGGCCCGTAGTAAACGTCCAGTTGCTGACACCTTCCAAAAGTTAGGAAGTTTCGCGTACGGTAAAATGAAACTTATATATGAAATTTCAAGTAAATCTGTTTAATATTTTCTTCAAAATGATCAAAATTGTAAAACGGGTCCAGTATACTATGGACAAAAGGTCCAGTTCCCGAGGTCTGATATATCTTAAAAGTTGATCAATCAATGCCTTGGTTGAAATAAACTTACATATAAAATTTCATCGAAATCGGTTCAGCCGAACTTGAGATACACGCTTGCACACACAGACCGACAAACCGACAGATTGCTAAAAATAGTTTATTTACACTTCCCTAACATGGAGAAGTGCGTTCCCACCGAAAACTCGATATGCAAAATTTGTTGCGGCGAATGACCGGGCGGATGACCACGCAATTTACCCTTGAATTCACCATTATATAAACGTCTCTTTAATTTTTTTTGGCTCTTCCTAAAATTGTGCAACCATTCAAAATATGTTAGGTGTATGTGATAGTAATTTAAGTAATGCAAGGTTGTTTTTAAAATCAACATTTTCACTTGTTGAAGGGAAAAGTGCTTCTTTACAAACAGTTGATTTAACTCAACTTTATTTTCAAAAAATTCATTTATGGTTGGTAATTTTTCCGAAACATAAATTTTTTTATTTTTAGGTGTATGAAAAGAAATGAAAATCAGCAAAGTGCGTATGTAGTGCACGAAATACATTAGCAAAAGTAAAAAGTATTTTATTCCGAATAAAAGGGACTTTATTCCTTTAATATGGAGAAAAAGTTATTTCCGTTGAAAATTTCACGTATTTAAAGGGCAGTTTTTAAGAGAGTCATCCTATTATACAAAAAAAATAGTTTAAAAATCTAGTTAACTTGTTTTATACAAGTTTTTATTCTGCTCCATCAAATCTGATTCATTATGGTTGATTGTATTTTTAAAATGCACTTTTGCCAGAAAACTAGATGTACAATACAGAACAAAATTCTAAAAATTTGTATGAGTATCATAATTTCCATATTCGTAAACCAAAAAAATTTTAAACGGCCCTATAAATGAGAAATGGAAAATTTTAATTTAAAAAGTTTCTTTTTTTATTGGAGAAACGCCTCTTTAATTATTATAAAAAATTTTATTAATCCTGAAAAAATCAAAATTTCAAAAAAATCAAATGTTTATCATACAATAATTTGTTTATTATGCAAACATATTTGTTTTTTAATAACATTTAAATTTGAAATTGTCTATTTCATATTTACAAAAAAAAAAAAACAAGGCGTTCCAAAATAAATAGATAAGCACAATATTGTGTGCAGAAAAGTGTTAAGATTTCTGTAATAAAAATTCTTTTTCGGAAACTGATCTTACGTAGGATGTTTTGACATTTTATAAATTTGAATAGGAAAAATATTTTAAATAGTTAAACAAAATCCAAAAAGAAAAGTGGATGAAAATTATTTTGAAAGAGCACATAATTTTTACTAAATAAATAACGTAAGGGTACACAGAATAATTTTAATGTTTAAACAGTAATTGCAAAACTTTTTACACCATTAATTACTCAAAATCTTAATTAACGAAATATTCAGCTTGACATTAATTTTCTAGAAACACCGTTTAATAAACTCTATTTTAGAAATTGAATTTCCATTTAAAAGCAAAAATTTCACTAAAATGTAATAAAATAAACCGTGACGTAACCGTAATTCTTACTATAAAAATAAACAATGTGCGATGGCTTTGGTTTAAGAGCTTTAAAAGATACATGCGTATCATTTTCTAATTAAGCCAATAGTTTTCTAATCTTGAAATAAATTTTTATTAAAGCTATTCACACCCGTACGAACGCATGTGTCTTATATTGGTAGCTGCCATACAACTTCGAAAGCTATTTGGTCGCATACTTTTTACACCATTAATTTCTCAAAATCTTAATTAACGAAATATTCAGCTTGACGTTAATTGAAACTATTGACATAAACGACTATGGTATTATGGCTATTAATTTCAATAAAAGTTTTTGAGATCGTAAGATATGGTTAATACAGAGAGAGTAAGATATGGTTAATACAGTTTATCATACATAAAAAGAACCAGGAGCAAATGTGAAACAGTGTGGCAATTAACACACATAACTTGAAATCATTCATTCTTACGGGTATCACAGAGTTGACGCGGTCTCCTATTCTCATTTTGATAATTAAGTATTAAATTTTGGTATTTCAATAGAGCCTTTAAGCTTTTCTATGTTTCTGTGGTACTTTAACAATTGTTTCATTTAAATGAATAGTATTATTTAAATATATACATTAATACTTATTTTATTTCATTGTTTAATTCATTAATAGTATTCATAAATGAATATTACTATTGAGTCGTGGGTAAAATTTACTACTTCGCAAAGTAAGTAGCTTCTAATTGCGATATTGTTGTAAATCGTCGCCTATTTAGGAAAATGCAAAATAACTATTAAATCAAGTAAAATTTATATAAGAAATGTTATACGGCGCATTACTAAGTATTTATAATACATTTCAGTATTAAATTTTGGTATTTCAATAGAGCCTTTAAGCTTTTCTATGTTTCTGTGGTACTTTAACAATTGTTTCATTTAAATGATTAGTACTCGTATTATTTAAAAATGTGTTATATACAATAAGAATTTTCTAGCCCACTACTTTTGGGTTTAGTTAAAAATTATGAATACTGCATAGTGTATATTTATACTAATTCAAAGCCACCATAGCTGGAACAATTTGCTAATTACTTATTTGCTAAGTATATAAAATATTTATAGTATGCGCCATTATTAAAAAAAACTATATGTAAGTAATATAAATTACAAGTCAAGAGTTTTAGTGAAATGAATCTAAGGTACATTTTATTCTTACATGTTTAAATAGAACTAAGCTTTTTTTAATGCATATAGGGTTAATTTATAGAAAACTCACATTGCACTAAGTTTACATAAAAAGAATAATAAAAAAAATCCAATGTGCTTTGTATAAAATTAAGAAGAGTTTAGTGAATGAATGTGTTTTCCTCTGTATAAATCACTATTATTAATTTTATATTTTATTAGTTGAGGTTTAAGCTGACTACGAGTGAAATAGTATTGCATATAAAAAACTTTACACTTTACAATCGCATATGTTCAACTCAATAACGGAAATTTTTTATTAAAATTAAGAAAAAATTAAAAAAAAACATTATAAAAGTTATTTTTGAATTATAGCTCTATAATATAATTTACAATATGTCATTTGATAATTATTCTATTAATTATTTTTAATTTTATTTTCAGATTAATTGCATCGATACCTCAATATGACCAACTACACTTTGTCAATTTTATTATTAAACAAATTAGCTACATTTAGCTCTAATGGCAGAGTTAGCAAATTTTTTAATTAACAAACAAATTTTATATTTTTCTACATTTAAATGGAGAAAAGGATCACTTTCGTCAATCAGTGCTATTTAAATTATTATTTTTCTAAAATCATTTATTTTATATTTGATTTTTATAATTTTTTTTCGAATTTTTTTTTGTTAATTATTTTTCATACAACTTTTAATTTTTGCAATTTAAAAAAATGTTGTTAGCAATGCGCCGTGAAAGTGATCATCATCCCCAAAATCCTTTGCAGTCACCATCTCCTGTGTCATTAAACACAGGAGATGTGACAATAAATCCACATCATCAGCAACAACTTCAACAACAACAACAACAACAGCAACAACAGCAGCAGGAGCATCATCATCAGCAACAACAACTACAATTACTGCGTAATATCGTATCTGGTGTTTCGATTCCATCAACAACATCTTTTCACCATCAAGAAAGTTTAATAAACCACCAATTAACCAGTCAATTATCTCATCATTCCTCCGCCCATACACAATTTGGTGCTGGTACTAGTTTATATAGTAATAATAATTTAATTAGTAGTAATAATAATAATAATAATACATTATCGACATCGACACCTGTCGGAATTAATTTAATTCCAAGTGATTTTCATCCATTACAACATCATCATCACCATCCACATCATCATCATTTTTCTGCAACAGCATTATTTTCAACTGCTGCTTCAACATCAACTGTACCGTCAACACAAAGTAGTTTATCAGCTTTTACAACAACTACAACTTCAACGTTAACTCGTCCAACAGTTAGTGCGACCGCTTTATCATCAATATCAGATGAATATGTCGATATATTTCAAGTTCAACAACATTTACTTGAATCCACAAATATATCAACTTCAACATCAACATCAGCAACAAATACTACTTGCTCAAATGTAGCAAGTACATCAACAACGAGCACGACAATATCAATAGGTCAAAGTACATCAACATCTTCAGTACTAAAAAATAGACCGCGTGTTAATGTTCAAAAAGCATCTGAATATGCTGCACAAGTTCAAGGTAAGCATTTTTTTTTGTAATTTGTTAGATAAAAACAATATTTTATTAAATTAATGATCCATATTATTTCACCTTTATGAAATTGTTAATAAATTCGGAATTACAGGATCAGGTTAATAAAGTTCAATGAAACCCTTGTGGTCTGAAATCCGGTTACATCATATAAATTATTTTGAAATTCTATATCCTCTGCAACAAATTAACGACATTGTTTCCAATACCCGTTAACTTATTGACGAGGCTTTCTTATTTAAAACTTATTGCCGAGCATTGTTATATTAAACAGCTAAAAGACGAATTTAATTTATGATTATTCCCCAGAACTGTTAAAAATTGGATAGAAATTTCACAAAGTTGAAATAAAAATTGCTCCGAAAATACATTTTTCTCTTTGGTTTGGAAAAATACGAACTCAGTTCGATCCATCTTATCGCCGAATAATTTATTTCGAAAAATTTACAGGCTAATTTATCCATTTTAGTTTTTTAAACACATTTTTTTTTTATTTTAAACATAAAAAAAATTTAATTTTCTTCTTTATTTTGTTTATAGCAGTCACCAATGATTCTCCATCACGTCGAGTATTACTTGATTATCCCAGCCCTTATTTGTATGGCAATCATTACCATACTTCACCCAGTGAAGATTTATTATTTTGGATTGGTAGCAATGGCACAGGTTCGCTAAATATCTTTCTCATTCTTATTCTTATTTGACTAATACTATTCCATAGTTATTATCGCAACTTAATTGGTAAAAGGCCAATCAAATTATTTAACATAAGCTTATAGAGTTGTATTTATATTTGAGAATAACAAAATTAAAATAACAACTAATTTACAACTTTAATCAACAAATTAACAAAACAACATAATATGTATAAGATTATACCCATTTATAAATAATTAACAAATTAAACCCTAATTGATATGAAGAGAAAGTGACTTACTAGTTTTCTAGCGTCTCTAAAATCATTTAATTATTTCCTTAATAAATTGAGAGTGAATATTAAGTAGTCATATCATATATAAATTTTCATGATTTCGTTTTAAAACCAAAAATGTTACTCCTATAGTGAATTAAAATAACTGTGCTCATCAGTTTCACGTATCTGAAATAATTTCTGTATTCCTTTTATTATCTTCTAATATAACACCATATAAAAAATATGTATATGTACTTAATTTGTCCCGACGTATCTATCTGATGGAATCAGTACATAACCGACAACAAAAAGTATTATCTAGTTTAGCAAAAATATTGTATAAGTTTATCACGCGAATTTGAGATACACGTGTGCACACTATTTTTAGTAGACCGATATCCTATGAAAAATAGTTTATTTAAACATCCCTACTATGGAATAGTGCTTTTTCACCGAAAACTCGGTAACATGCGAAATTTGGTGTGATCACATAACCGCCCTTATTCTATGCAACGCGGTCGGTAATAGACTGTACAAGGGTTATTTTAAACTGAAATTCTACTAAGTAAAGTCTTAAACTTCCAATAACAAAAAGTTTAAAATTCATATTACTCGTATAAAATATTCCTTACGAATTTCTTAAGTAAAATAAAGTCCAGTCAAACAAATGGCTTTTATTGTAGCACTTTTCCCTTCAACAAGTGAAAATACTGCTTTCAAAAACATTCTTTGTATACCTACTACCCTATTAAAATTATTTTCATTCTATACGAGACTACTTCAAGGATTGCATATTTTTAGGATGAACTATTTATACATTCTTTGAAATGAAGCAAAAATAAATTTAAAGATCTAATATAATGTTCGATTTTAAGGGTTAATTGCGCGGGCTAAGTAAAATAATTATATTTTGTAATGCCATAGCACTTACCGTTAGCCTTTTGCATTTATAAAAATTTGAAAAAGCTTGCAGTTTTGTAAATATAAGGTGCCAAAAATTCAAATTTTACAAATTTCGAGAGGGGATAACTTGAGAGGAGGTGGAGGTGGAAAAAAAATTTCTTCGGACGGACGGACGGAGAGAGTGAAACTTATAAGCACTTTTTTTTTAAAAATTTTTTGAACTACTTAAAGAGCTCTAGACTTATTATACTTAGTTTTAGTAATTTGTTGTGTAGGAGGATAAAATCTTCATGTAATTTACATTTTACCTTCTATGTGTGTACAAATTTTTTATAAGTCGTTTTACAAAATGAATAATTAATTTCACCAAATTTTATTCAATATACGAAATAATTTCTCTAAATATACGCAATCTCAAAAATATTTATATATGTACATATTTTTTGCTTATATACCCAATAAATAATTATGTTTTTGTATCAAATAATGTGAAAGTAAAAGGATTCTTATAAAAATAATAAAACAAATAAGAATAATAACTTCAATAATAGTCATAATAAATTATTATATGATATACGTATATATATATAGTATACGTATATTATATAAATATTTAAATACATTTATAAATTTCTTACTAACACATTTGTAAATTGTTTACAAAAAATTTTCATTGATAAAAATAGTCATTTTAGTGAAAAAAATTTTAGAGACTGAAAAAGAGCTTTCTTTCACAAAAGAAGATTTTATTATACACTCAGATTCAGATATTCATAAATTTATTCACAAATACAATTAAATAAATATATGTATGTAATATTTATGTAATACTTATATACAAATTTTGTTGATATTATAAAGGTAAACACAAATTGGATTTTTGGTAAACATACGGCAAAAAGTTACACAAGTTTTTATGTATTGATAATGTTGCTAAACATGTATGAATGAAGGTATACAGTGTGCCAATTATATACTCAGTCTGTTTTTAAAAATCAAGGACAACATTGAAATATTCTAAAGCTATTCTACTTCATGAAGGAATCTTATATAAATTTAAAGCTTTTTCATGTATCCTTTTTCCTCAAAATGAAGGAACATTGTGATATAATTTTAATAGCATATATTGTAAAAGAAAAAACTCTTGTTCTATAAAATACAAATATCTGGTAAAATGTATAGGTACCTATAGAATCGATGGTATAGATAATATCATTTTTTGTGTAGAAAGTACGTATAGGTACAAATAAGCAAATTGTTGTGCTTCGAATTTTTTATTTAACATGTTAAAGCGGCTGGTTAATAAATACACGCAGTCTAAAAAATCCATTTCAATTCGACACACAGTTCAAAGAGTTTGCTGCTCAAAAAGAATATAGATTTAAAAAAAAATAGATATTTAATTCCTAAAAATGAGGTAGAGTAATGGGTCAAAGACCAGTATGGAAACGGATACCGGATGTTTGGTTCGAGGACTACATTCTTCTAACCTATTGGAACGTTTTTGAACGTGTTTCAGGCCGAGCTGTACGCCATTGAATTATGCGTGCAGTTCAGTCTTAAAAGGGGGTATCAGGAACAGGCGATTATGATTATGTCGCATAGTCGAGCTGCCACTGGAGTGCCGAATTTGTTTTCCGCATCCTCCGCGAGATTATGGAGCTGTCTTTTAAAACTCAATTAATTAAGAAGCCGCAATTAGACGACTTTGTCGTTTCTCCTGGGTCTGGAGCTGAATCAGGCCACATAGTGTTCTTTGGGAACTAAAAAGGGGATCAGAGAGGAGATGTTCGGAGCACTGAAGCAACCTTCCTGAAGAGAATTGACTTTGCAAATATGACCAAGTGAATATATTATGAAAAAAATATGATGAAAAATGAAAACGTTTTCTATTTCAAAAGTTTGCTAGTTTCTAAAACTTTTAAAATAAAAACTCATTTACCCATAATGGGCTATTACGTCTTAAAGTACCAATTGACTTGCTACGTCTTAAAGTACCAACAAACTGAATGCTACAAAAACCTATAAATGGTAAATAGGAATGTGATTTCTTACTCTGAAAGGTAATTAGGTACTAAATACTGGATGGATAATTCGTACGTTTACATGTATGCAGTTATTAAATTGATTTGATTGAATTTACTTTGCGAAATAAAAATAACTTTCCTTCATAGCTATTGTTTTTTCTTATCAATCGCATTTCAATCAATAGGAGACGTTATGTGATGGTACCAAATTTTACATGTCGAGTTTTGAGTAAAAATGCATTTCGCCCTAATAACGTACTCAAGCGTAAATAAACCAATTATCTATCTTCAGAAATTCGGTTGAACTAATTTTTACAAAAATTTATATTAGAATACTCGTATTTAATTCATCGATGAGACGATCTTATATAATTGATAGAAATTCTATTTGCTAGTTTAAATTACTCACTAACGAAATTTTTTGTAAGAAATGAAGTAAAGAGCCAAATTTTCGTTCTTTTAACTATTTTAGCCAACAGCTTGCTATCGTTCTTAAAGTTTCATTTCAGGATCATTTTTATAATCTTGTGCAATATTTTTGCTAAACTACAAAATACCTTGTAGTTGATTATGTACTTACCACATCAACTTTTTTTTTTGTATATAGTTAAAATAACATATGTACATATTGATATTAGCTATATTAGCTTTTTAAAACAAAAGCAAATATATTTTCATCCCAAACTATAACATGTACTAAAATTTTTACTGTCACAAATTTTAATGATCTAATTTTAATTCTTGGAATATTTATAAATAAAATTGAAGAAAATATTAATTTTTACTTAGAATACTTTTAGTTACTATGACACTTTTTTCGGAAATCTACAATAGCTTAAAATGTAAAGATATTTTAGGTTATAATATTGTTGTGATATTTGTTTTTGAAAATTTCTTTTGTATATACTCAAATATGTACGTAAAATAAAGGAATATTAGCGGAAAATGAATTTTGTAACCCAGGTCAATTCAATTTCCTTGTTGTTTATACACCCACATTTTTAAATTATTTATATACATACATATAGCATTATAGAAGCAATGCGATAGATACTTTTGTTTTGTACATAATTAAAAGAAAATATTTTTCGTAAATTTCTAACTTTTTAAATCATTAAGAGATTTATAATTAGTAAGTTATGTAGAATAAATTGTTATAAAATTTTTCGGAAAATATTAATATGTTACTGAGAAATTTCAGTTCCTTACTGAATTCATTTCTCGCCTGTACAATTCTGACAAAATTTATTCCAAATCTTTCTTCCTTAGATTTATTTAAACTATTAACAAACCGAAAACTAATCAAGGGTTTTATTCTTGCCTCGGAAACACGTTTGCACTTCCTCTGATTATAATCAAAAAACTTTTTTTTCTATCTTTTCAAATTTGTTGCGGGGGATTGGCAATTAATGTGTTACTGAGAAATTTGAGTTTCTTACTGAATTCATTTCTCGCCTGTACAATTCTGACAAAATTTATTCGAAATCTTTATTCCTTAGATTTATTAAAATTCTTAACAAACCGAAAATTAATCAAGGGTTTTATTCTTGCCTCGGAAACACGTTTGCACTTCCTCTGATTATAATCAAAAAACTTTTTTTCTATCTTTTCAAATTTGTTGCGGGAGATTGGCAATTAATGTGTTACTGAGAAATTTGAGTTCCTTACTGAATTCATTTCTCGCCTGTACAATTCTGACAAAATTTATTCGAAATCTTTATTCCTTAGATTTATTAAAATTCTTAACAAACCGAAAATTAATCAAGGGTTTTATTCTTGCCTCGGAAACACGTTTGCACTTCCTCTGATTATAATCAAAAAACTTTTTTTCTATCTTTTCAAATTTGTTGCGGGAGATTGGCAATTAATGTGTTACTGAGAAATTTGAGTTCCTT